TTCTTCATGCTCTAACTGCTCTGATGGTTCTGCTCCAATATTAATTGAAGCTAGTCCAGTGAGTCGTTTTTGAGACATGATTTTGCGGTACTCGACTTCATAGAAGGCTTATAAATATTTGTTTTATGGAAATCGAAATATCWACGACCTAACAAATCGGAGTGCCCCTCTCGGTCTCGCCCGAGTCAGACACTGAGTAGTATTATGTAACTATGAAATTATGCCTTACTATTATTCATTGTTATTACCTATGTAAACATCATATTGGCAGTGGCGTACAAATGGGCGAGATTTTCGGGATAAATCCCCCTCCAAAGACGAGAAAATCAATTTTTGAAAAATATACACTGAAAATGTCGCCAYGAGTGTTAAATTAGGTATTTGTCAATTATGATGGGATTGCAATATTTTTTGTAGATTTTAAAGATTGTTTATAATTAATAGTAAATACTAAATTATCTCTGTAGTCCGTGACCAGTTGCCCGTGTGTGTGTCTATTTTTGTAATGGCATACCCGCATCATCGAAATCATAGCCCTATAATTAACTTAGGTCTATGATCGAAATATTATTTTAATTTATAAAATCATAACCTTATCCCTTGTTTATTAAATTATTTATAATAATAATATACTCGATAGCCCAATATGTCCGACGACTGGCGTTCAGTGTCGTAGGTAATCTAATCGTTCAGTGTTCAATTAGTGCAGCGGTTCCCCAACCTGGTAGTAATAAATTATCCCCTAAGGGATAAAAACTCGATTTTTTTTTGGGGGGGGGAGGGGGTAAAAGTTTAACTATTTATTTGTATTCCAAGTACTTGATATCCATTTAATCATGTGTATTATGACTGTAAATGAAATTGTAATAATATATATTTTGTTTTGTTTTTTATCGGGTCGGGGGGCATATAATCTCTAACCTGACTTATGACAATTGAATGTACGCCACTGCATGTTGGTATTATTATTATTGTTGTAATGACCACTGACCAGTGGCGTACGGAGGATTTTTCAATGGCGGGGTAGAGAGTAGGGCTTGAAAATAAAAAAAAAACACTCAGTTGTCTCAAGATAAAAGAAGATAATGTAAATACTTTCTTATTCATATGAAATGTACGAAAAAAAAAACATAAAAATAATGGGAAATAATATTTATTTATTTATTTTGTCCAGTATTATGATATTGTTGTCACTTAGCTGAGGTTTTTGCGAATTCTTGTAGAATTTCAAACTCGGTCGGTTCTTTGTTTTGATATCTACTAAACCTAATCTGTTAAGACGTTCTTCTGTCATGGACTCGTGAGTCGTGGTTGATCTTAAGTACGATTTTACGACGATAAAGACCATGCCTTTTAATTCATAATATTGTCTACTAGAGAATCGTGAGATGATCATAATAATATAATGAATAATGACATTACAAAATTACATAACGAAAAATATTTGTAAAAGGCTATATTTAGGTTTAGGACTACCGTAATGTTGGCTAACCTGACGATACTCAGCTTGTTGATAATATCGGTTCAATAGTAGCTAACATTTATATATTTATAGATTGTGGTTGGAAATGTTGGAATAATTAAAATATGGCTTAACACACGATTGAAGTTACTATTTTAAATCACGGGTAAATGCTACACGAGCAATAAAAAATTAAATAAATATAAAAACAAATAGGTAATAATAAATAATATGGTTGAAGGGGGGGGGGGAGTAAATGGTCGAGAGGGCTTCAGTCAGTTAGCCTCCTCCCCTCGTGTACGCCGTAGTAACTACTAAAAATAAAATTTATATTTCGAAACCGGTCATTGGTGTGCGGACTTGATCGTCAGTTGGACGTGAACGCGAGTGCGTCCCATCCGATGACGTGATCGATAATAATATTAGTGGGTTATAGCCGTTAAGGTGCCTTAGTCGTGCTTGAGTTAGTTTGGAATGGGTAGGCCAAGAAAGGATAATTTATTGGAGTCCGACGTCGCTGAAGCCGTCATTCGTGATGCGCTAAAAGTGTTTGTTCTCTCGTCGCTCGTCCGATGGACCGTATTCTTATTTTGCTGTATCTATGTAGACATTTAGTGTACGCAAGATGCAACTGTTTATTTTCATTCATAATATACGAGTATTTATATATATATCTATTGGAAATCAATCCATTTTTTAATTAGGAAGTGACATTTGATAAGGAAAGATTTAAGAGTGTGTTTGAAGCATCGATGGTTCTAAATAGACCGCTATAAGTCGTAGAAAAAGAAGAATAAACACCTATTATAATGAAAATATCGAATAATGCTTGGTACAGTGCCACAGTAGTACTAATTYTGTATCAAGAGATAATAATCAAGACTGACGTTGAACGACATTTTTATCTTTTCATTGTGCACTAATTGCTTGACTAATTGGTTCTGTGGAGTGTCTTTATCATATACTAACATCTTATAGTCGTTCTGTCAAATTAAAACTGAAGAAAGAGGAAGAAACGAATAATGAAAAGGATCTTTAAATACCTAAGTTTAGTTTCAAAAACATTTTACAGTAGAAAATAATGGTAAGTAATTTTGATTTTTAATTATACATGAAATATATTAATTATTAAGCTAATAAAAGTAATCATTTTTTATCATAATGTCATTTTAAGTGGCTCAAATAATAATAATTAATAAATACCTGAGTAAATACCTAATAATTTTTTGCACCTGGCCCCATCAAACATACCTAGTTTGACTTTAGAGCATTTGTTTATATTCCTACAAGTTAGTTTAAAGTTATAAACTATTGCGCTTCCACTTTATTGCTGAACTATTTTATTTAAAAAATTTGTATTGTATTCTATATACCTACGACTATACCTACTAGTATAATGGTTGTATTTGTATTTGTCAAACCATATTTCACGGATTATCTGGATTATTCAACTCGATTTTGCTGTTAAATGACTCATTTTCATAATTGATAACATTTCATAATTGATTATCCCTTTTAAACAATGTTGGCACATGGTAACATAAATTATGATAGGATATATGGGGGAAGCACATTTCTTATATTAATAAGTCTATATGGCCTACATTGAACTATTAAAATCTTTTAGAAGTGTACCCTGAGTCCCTGAGTAATGTCTGACTAACATTGGATACCTGAAAAATAATTTTTGAAACATGTCACATAAAATCTGAAGCTGTTCTTATTTACCTTTAAATATTTTACAAAATTCAATCATTTTGATTACAGGTTATTATCACCAAATAAATATATACACATAATAAATATTAAAGAAATTATTTGTACGACAAAATGTATTTATTCAAAAATAAAAGTACAAATAATGAACCCTTTTGTTAAAAAAACCTACATATTAGGTGTATATAAAAAAAAATGATTTTAAGTATTTAATAATAACCTTGATAATAACTATTAAGTTATATACTATTACAATTTTATTTTTATTTTACCATCTAGATAATATTTTAAGTCCATTTATTAATTTATTATACGTTACTCGAAAAGAGTCTAAAGAAAAATGAAAAAAAAAACCACTGTGTATTAAAATCTAAATATACCTATATGGTTTAAGTGATCAGTGAAAAATCTTATAAAAAGTAGAGTAAATCTTCTAAACTAGAATTTGCAGGGTTTTTAAGTGATTGTCCAGTCAAAAATGCTAATTTGTGTGCCAGTTGACACGGAGCAGGAACTCTTACGGTACCCTATACAAAAATGTGCATTAAAATTATAAAAATACATATTTATTTTTATGCTTATCTCTTAAACAATTAATACTTACCGACCAATTGTAATACATATGAGTCAACTTATAGGTAAGTTTTTGCAAAATTGCGGGTGTTATAGTAGCAACAGTAGTTTCACTGAGAGTATCAATAATAACATTGTAGTGAGTCGGTGTAACTGTACCCTTTGTTACATGTTGAGAAACCAAGTAGAAATCATACCTGTAATACATTAAATTGTTATTCCATTTTTAAATTAAAAAAAGTGTTGATAGGAACATAATTACATTTGATGTACATGGTTGGTGTTTAGTGGTGGGAGGGGGGGATTGAAATTAGGGCATTTTTCATGGGCTTAGCGTTTAAAATTTACCTTGAAATCTTTTTAATCTTATAGGCTATAGCCTATAGGTGACTATGATTATTGTTTGAATAAATTTTGCCCAAGGCCTCGCATAAAGTAGCGCCGACCTTGTTGCTGTTATGACGTAGTCATAATCTAAGTTTTTTTTTTATTATKATTTTGTGCAAATTGAACTTAGAACTTTTAAATTTGTTAGTAATAATACCRGTAAAATACTTAATTGTACATAATGACAGTAGTATCAGTCAGGGATGAATTGGGTCACCAAAAAATCCGTCTATTAACTAGTTAATGGAGTTGCGGATTGCTCTACCTAACTCCATAGTTGTAACCTGTTACAAATCAACAACAATACACAAACATCAAACAGCCAGTTTTGGGTAAATTACTTTTAAAAAGTAATAAGTCACCTACTTTACTCGTTACTTGGAGAGAAATGTAATAAAGTTACTTTATTCGTTACACTAATAAAATTGTAATGAAATTACTTTACTTTTTAAATTGAAAAGTAACTCATTACTTTCTCGTAACAAAAAAAAAATAAATATTTTTTTTAATATTTCTTAATAATATCATTGTGCCTGGCAATAATGTTACTAGAAATAAATTACCTATGGTATGTAAATAGATATAATTTGAAAAAGAAATCAATATAATATAATTTTATTATTTTATATTAATTTATGTTTATTATCAACTTTAGACTATAATGTATCATCAAAGTTTTTGTCACTCATACGCGGCCTTTGTTTAGAACAAATGTCCCCTGAAACACTAAATAATTGCTCTACAAAGCACTGGATGGTAAAGCTGTGTTGTATTTAATAAAAATATTCTTTACTAATGTAATTGAATTCAAGATTGTGAGATCAGCTGTATAAAGAGCTATAAGAAATATATTATATTGTATATTACTATACTAGATTGGTAAACATAATAATACCAGCATTATAAACATATTTTTTTTTTCAATTCGCAAAAGGCAGGTACTTAATAATTCAAAACTAAGGCGTTATTCAATAGAAATTACTTATCAAAAGTAATTTCCATTACATTTTTGATACTTGGAAATAATTCTAATGAAATTACGTAATGCGTTACTTTCGTTACGTGACTACCCAACACTGCAAACAACACAACTAAACGATTTTTTTCTAGTAAGTATCTATTAATTTCTTCCCCGATTTCTTTTCATAGCAAGAATCGTAATTTGCAGAACAATAAACTAGATATATTTTAGAAACTGAATGATAAGTAATATCAATAACAATCAAATAATTAACCTTGTGGACAGTAAAATCTATATTATGGATTATTATTAAGAGTACATTACACTTGCATATTTTGTTGTCTCCATATTACAAGTGCGTAACATAGCAAATTGATGCTCAGCAGATGTAGTGTAGCTATGTTAGCTTAAAAATTAGAGTGTATCTTAGGAACTTTATGGTAACCAAATTATATGTGTTAATTTTCTACGATAATTCAATTTTTAAGTGAGTTATTAGTATTTTTAATTTATTCAATATTACAGTGATACATATATTTGGCGAGATTTTCTGTTTGTTAATTATTTTTAAGAACCATAACCATTWACCTTCATTGTGAATATACGAAAATCCTATTTAACAAATTTCCCTATAATATTACAAATTGTTTATGTTCCCTATGAGTAATCAAACATTAGGATGTGTATAGGATACTGAGTAATTTTTCAGGTTATTAACCCATGTGCTTTTCCYSAGGCTTYTCCTTTATGTTTAATATTTTTTTTAATTGCAACAAAATACAAATTCCTAGAAGAACAAAGCTCATTTTTTATTTAAACTATCCGATTTTCAGAATAATATAGAACAACTTATGAAGAACTTATAATATATTTGAAACCTTCAGCTAATTTTATGAATTTAACTAAAAATTAATTTGAAATACTTGTTAAATTTAAAATTAAATATTGTTATGAATTACTGTTAAATATGATTATATACTTACATAGTTGGATCAGTGACAGTATTATCAATCACTGTCCCAGGTGGTGGATTTTGATAATTTCCTGGTATGTTACAAAAAAATCTTGAATTGATTCGTTTTTTAACGATAATAAATGCCATGCCAACTTTTTTCTCTCCATAGAAATCTTTACAACTTTGCTGTAAATAAAATTATTTATATTAAATTTAATCACAAACATTATTATATGTAGGTATATATTTATTTAAAAATGACATAATGTAGATACAAACCTTTATCATTTCAACTTCAGTTCGATGGATATATGATAATTGTCCATCGCCCACACCATCTCTGTATATAATGATGCTATTAGGGAGTTTGTTATTTTTGTGTTTATATTTGCTTAGAGCCTCTAAAAAAACATATATATATTCAAATAATAAGCACCTATACATTTAAGAATCAATTAGTCATGTAAATGAAGTAATTTCTACATAGGTCAAACAATTATAAAAAGTAAAAAATATTCTACTGATGCGTATATTAAATTTTAAAAGGGGTATAGTTTACGTTAAAATTCAAGAGATTGTTGTTACA